GGATCGTTGCAATTTATGAGTGCTAAAATTTACCCCTAAAATATCAAGAATAAGAAATTTTTACTGTAAATGATAACGTGCTATCCATCTTGAAGAGGGGACGTAATGTTAAAAGCCTATGTTACCATGAACTTGCATAATTTGGGGTATTGTCAAAGATTTACACTTAAGTTAAAAATAGGATGTGCATATCTTCCCTGTTAATCGCTTCTAATTAAACTTAAAAGATGAGATCCCATCAACAAAAACAACGTTTATTTGGAATTCTATTTTGACTTGCCAATTATTTAAGACATTAGATTATTAGAATTTTGGCATATCCCAAAATGACCATATCAAACTACTTTGTCATAGGAATATTCATTTTTCGTTTTCTTTTTTTATAGTGACAAACGGGCCATCTAATAATGACTTTAATCATGATTCACATGTCGCTATTAATTCCTCAAAACCATACACTTCGACCCTATATATTTGACTATAATTGCCACAATTACAATCATATATGGACTTTAAGTACTCTTCCAAAATTGCTACTTTCAATCAACTTCACATTCATTTTCTAACACGGCTCATATGTGCATTTCAACATCCGCACCATCAATGTAACCGAGGTTTAGCTCTTCCAAGTTTATGAAATTGCGGTCCAAAAGAGCAGAGAGATACACAATCGGAAAGAAGATCCCAGTGTAATCTGACTTCTCCATACCTCCAATTATACTCGTCACTACGGCGTGGCCCATTGGATTTCCTGTGGTCGAAGTGGGATTTCGCGAACTCAGGCTCGATGTCAAGGACATCCACCGCTTGCACACGGACTTGGATTGAGCCCATCAGGCTCGATGGGCAGTCGTACTAAGATCTCGTCCAGAATATCCCATGGAATGTGAGGTAACTTTGGCTTTCTTCATAGTAGAATTCTGATTCCTAATTGATTAACTCCATAGTCCATCGTGACCTAGCTGACATAGATGAACCAACTCAATAAAGTTTCATCTTGGATTAAGTCTGATTCTTACTGAAAAAAGATGTAAGCGTTTGTTGAGTCCAATTCAATCCCTAGCAAGAAACCCAAGCCCCAGTCAATGCAAATTGGGCCTGAACCAGCAATCCCCATTTGGGCCCAAGCAGTGAGGATCCTGATGAGTTTCTGGTACCGCCTTCTTCTGGTGGTATCTTAAAATTAATGATTTTTATAATGACAAAAAGAGCTCATAATCTATGTCTACTCAATGTAATACGCTTTTTATTATTTATAATGTTGACCGTTATATGATAATGCATAAAGTCTATAAATGATATGACTGATCAATGAGATGCCAAGGTAACATCATTGATCGGATAGGATGTGAGCCATTCGACATTGTTTATATATGATCATGTGTCTAATCAAGCTTGTGTTGTGCATAGAATTCACGCCTAGTTCATTTCTTGACCATTAAACCAACTCCATTTCAATACTTAACTTTATAAACTTAAAAATTTAAAAACATAAATGAAAACGTATTTTCCTAAATTGAGGACTCATTTATGTATTATTTCACGATCATGTCCTTTAGTTAATTTTCAACGGTCCAAATTTGAAAAATCCAAGAAGCATCTACAAAATTACGCCTAACACTAAGAACGACAACAAACTCTAGCTCTGGAAGTTCCTGTATGGATTGCGATACTCTAAATTCAGCATCGAGAGAGACAAAAATAAGTAATACATAATTGAATATCAACTGTTGTTCAAGCCAACGCAAATATAAATTATTCACATAACTTACTATACATAAGTGTTATGCTATTTATGCAATACTGTGTTATAACATTCGTTTTGGTAAATTGGTTTTCTAAGTGATGCTAAATTTGCAAGTAGTTTTTTGTGCTACAATGTCCATTTAAGCATCCAACAAAAATCGTCGCATCGGTTAGTATGCAAATTTTGTAGAGGACTCTTAGTATACGACCATCATTGAAATTATATGATTTAGGTCAACAAAGGTAATTAGGTAAGTTGTATATGTCTCAAGCATGTTGCACATACCTAAGTTTTTTAATTTGTCGGAAGAAAATTGTATTGATTGCTCAAAAGGATACATGAGAATTACATAGGTTTTCATGGCAAAAAAAATCGAAGCAGAGTAAAGTCAAATATACTATAAAACAAAGCAAAATCTTAATATAAGGAGGATCAATATAGCACCGGCAAGTTTAAGCCCACTAGATCTTGTATCCTCGTCGGTGATGAGCACATACCGGAAATTCCTTCTCTAATAATTATGGCGTTACCAGTTGGCAGTGCATGCCTATGTTCGGCTTTCTCTACACCGTTGTCATACATAGACAACCAAAACATGTTGAACAAACACGTATCTAAGTTTTGGAAGATCAAATCTTCGTAGTTCAGCAAGACGCTAGAGTTCCTACGATCACTTTTGAAACTAGAGGCAGATGATCTGTACAATGACAAAGCACTAGTTCGAATTCCTGAAAACATTATTAAACTCCTGGAACTAAATTAGGAAAAAATAGCTCCCAGATCTCGAACTAGATTGAACTCGGATCTAGAATCAGACTAGGAGAAAAGATCTCCCAGATCCATATCGGGAGAGAAGAAAAGAATAAAAAAAAAAGGGCTAATACCACGAAAAATCCCAAATTGGTACATCTGTGACAAATTTACCCCAAACTAATTTTTTGACCACAAAAAATCTCAAACTGGTACATTTGTGACATATTTACCCCAAACTAATTTTTTGAGCACAAAAAATCTCAAACTAGTACAATTGTGACAAATTTACTCCAAATTAATTTTTTGACTACTAAAAACCCCAAACTGGTACATTTGTGACAAATTTACACTCCGTTAGTTTCCGTTAAATTGGATTAATACAAAAAAAAAAATCATAAACTGGTACATTTGTGATAAACGGAGAGTAAAACATAAAATCGATATATCCGTTACCTGCCACTTATCATTTGATAAAATAATTTGACAGTAAAATTTAACGAAAACAAACTGAGGGTAAATTTATCACAGGTGTTCCAGTTTGGGTTTTTTCATAATATTAATAAAAGAAAACAAGAAAACTCAAATAAATCAACAACAGAGGGATGGGACCCTCCTCCATGGCCGAAGGTCGAAGAAGATGATGGAAAAAGAAGAGAAAGAGAAAAAGACTTCTCGGCTGCTTTCACATACCTTAGTTAATAAGGCTAAATACCGTGGAATTGTGACTATTCTACAATTTCATCTAAAGCATTACAAAAGTTAAAAGGAAAAAAAGTTACTTGCATGTCGGGTTGACTCGACCCAACCCGGAAATTTCCGAGCTTGTGCTGGGTTGACCTTGTTCTTTTACAAGTTGAAAAAAGTCCATCCATACCCTATTTTCAGGGTGGGTTCGGCGGGCTATCGGGTTGGGTTGGACTAAGATCGAATCGAAAAATTGAACGCTTCGAGAAACAAACTCGACGCAAATTATAAAAATGTAAAACAAAAAAAAAATCAATGCACATAAGATGAACATACCAAAGCGGGAGCGACATCTGAGAAAGTGACCGAGTCTAATCGACAAAAATCGTCCGAAAGCTTCGGTGGCCAAATTCGTCTCACAAAGCACCGCGCTCCTATCATGACATATCCTCTCCGCCCACCCTTTTGTGGTTTAGAATCGAAGCAGTTTTAGATAGGGATTGTATGGTCGGATTTGGTTGTTTGCCCATATTTTTCTTTTTTTTTTCCCCATTTTAAATAAGGATTAAGAAAATTTTGACAGAAGAAAAAAAGAACAGATCCTCCTTTTGTAGCCCATTTTAAAAGTAAATTTATATTTTTCTAGATGTGGAAAAAAAAAGCAAGCTCATCGACCGATTCCGACCCAAGAATTATTAACTAAATATCCATCGGCGTTAGTAAGGAAAGGCTACTTTCTTTACCAACCAAAATTAATAAAAATTTTCCCTAAAATAAATTTTGATAGAAAAAAAAAGGAAAAATAGATCGTGTTATTTTCTCCACATAATTTCATTTTTTCTCCTTTTGAAGCTCCTTTTAAAAAAGAATTTTTATTTCCCAATATGTGGAAAAAAAAAGGGGGGAGATTCCAATGTTAGGACTAGATCAACATGAGCCGTGCAATGACTATGGAACAAATGAACATGGAAAATTTTGCATCTTAGGAAGCAGGCCTGTCTGGTTATGATTTTTGAATTGCAACCTTTTTGCTTCCTCTTAAAATTTTAAAGTTTTGTCAAATTTTTCAAAGTCGTAAGAAGATTACATGTAAATTTACGACATCAATTATCATATATTGCGAAAATTTTAGATGTTTCGGATTTAAGAGAAAAATGAGAGTGCGTCCCTCACAATATTTAAACTAAGAAGAAAACAAAAATGTAAAAATTCACCAAGACACGTTTTACCAATTTCTGTTATCGTAAGTTTGATCTGCAAAACTGAAAAAAAAAAGATGTATAAAATGAGGCGATATTTTATTATTGAGCATAAAAACAGGTCATATGTCTAGGACAAAGCCACCGTAGTGCCCCTCATTGTGCATTTCATGATGAAAACAAAATCTGCCTTTAACATCTTGGGGAAATTGCCCTACAAATCCTAAATCTGATATACAGAACTTAACCGAATCGTAAGGCTCTTCATTTATACAATCGGTCCTGATGAAGATTGCCACAAAACTAGCGATCGTATGGTAGTCCTCATCGAAGGACTCTAATTGTACTTTTTGATAACGGATTAGAATTTAACGAAAGCTATTGAAAAGGCTAAATGGATTCCAAACCTAAAATTTAGGATTTCGGGTGGTATTTTTTTTTTATTTTTTTGCTTGAGCCTCCAATTTCCCTACTCTTTGGTATGTGTGGGCTGAAAGAGATGATACACCAGGTCACCCGACCACCCTAGAACTATATCCTCCCTCTCATTTCTTTGATTTTTTCCCTCAATTTTTTCTTTTATTTATTGAGTTTATCAAACAGCCTCACTTCAACCACCAATTGCGCAAATCCCAGTCAGCCATAAACCATAAACGGGAAACTCATCCCCCAACTCTCGTCAACCACCAAAGGGCAGAGAGACAGAGAGAGAGATAGAAGAATGGCCATGGCAATGGCGCTCCGACGCCTCTCCTCCTCCATCGAGAAGCCCATCCGTCCTCTCGTCAATGGCGGCGGCTCCGTCTGCTACATGGTCCTCTCCCCTCCATTTCCTTCCCGTCCCTCCCTCCCTTCTCTTGCTCTTCTTTGGATTATGCATCAATGGTGCCGGTTCTATTCTCTGACTCTGTTTCTTGCAGGCGTCCTTGCCCAATGAAGCCGTCTACGAGAAGGAGAAGTGTAGCGTCACTGTAAGCGTCCTCATAGTCCTCCTCCAACTTCCCTATGTTTTGACAACATGAGTTTCGAGCTGTTCGCAAGTGGTTGTCGTATAAGTTTTCGCTCTCTTGCCTTTGAAATGATTCTACTTTTGCTCGTGTACGTTATGTGTTTGCAGTGGCCGAAGCAGCTTAACGCTCCGCTCGAGGTCGTTGATCCCGAGATTGCTGACATCATTGAGCTCGAGAAAGCGAGGCAATGGAAGGTATCACTCGGCTCTCTGTTTTTCTCCTAACAAAGCTTCTCATATTGCCGTGTTGGTACTCATTGCTTCCATGTTTCATTGGCGAGTGAATTTTATTTCCAATTAGTTTCACTGTTTGGCCGATAGTATTTTCAAGAGTTCTATGAAACTAGCAGCTACTTTGCTCGCTATTTGACTGCTGCAAGCAAAATCATGCAAGAAATTGAGAGGTCCACCTACCCTTTTCCTTTTGCTGGAGGAGGAACGATTTGGGAGTTTCTCATGTTATGCGTAATGAAAATGAAAAAGATTATGTATATAGCTTTTTTTTGTTATGAAGATTAAATCCTTCTCTGCAATCGATAATTTCTGATTTCTTATGTTCGGTTACTAATGGTTATGGTGGTGGTTGTTTTGTGCTTACCAAGGGGCTGGAGCTCATCCCATCAGAGAATTTCACTTCTGCCGCAGTAATGCAAGCTGTTGGATCGGTAATGACAAACAAATATAGTGAAGGATATCCCGGTGCGAGATATTACGGAGGAAATGAGTATGTTTGAGCACTTTCACAATATGCGTATCTTATAAAAGAACTTTGTACTTATTTGCCGCTGTGATTTCAGCTGACTTGATTCCATAGTTCTGGTATTTACTCTTAACCTGGTAAAATTTGATTGGTGGTGAAACTGGCAGTCTGTTTGTTCAGGTATATTGACATGGCCGAATCCTTATGCCAGAAGCGTGCTTTGGAAGCATTTCGGTTGGATCCTGCCAAGTGGGGAGGTAGTTTATATGATATTTTCACTTCTACTGCAATAACTTCAGCATTCTCTTTGCTTGTTCTTCTGTCGTTCTCGTTCTCATTTGTTTCCTTACATCTGGAATGTCTTTGTGTCAGACTCAACCTTTTTCACCTATAAATTTCTAATCATATTCATCTCTTGGTCTTTGGGGTCAGTTACCACTCAGTACACAATATTATGATACATCTAGTTGATATGATAATGTCGTCGAATGCATTTTGTTCGGATTCTTGTATTTAATTCTCCCATCAAATGTGACAGGCAAAGGAAAATCAGTCTAGTTAATGGCCCAATTAGGAACTGATTTTCATCACCAATTTGTAAAATTATTTGATATGCTTGCCAGAATATGCGTATTGCCAGCAGATTTCTGAGTATCCTTCTGTATTGCAGTTAATGTGCAGTCTCTATCTGGGTCTCCTGCCAATTTCCAAGTATATACTGCACTTCTAAAAGCTCATGATAGGATTATGGCACTCGATCTTCCTCATGGTGGACATCTTTCTCATGGCTATCAGGTGCTTAATGTTGCAATCAAGAGCTTTTTACTTTTTTGTGGATCTGTTTTGTCAGAAGAGCTTTTTACTTTAACCATAAAAGTTGCTTCTTCTTCACTAGAGATGGCGTACGTCATAACTCTCTACTAGAAACTCCTCCTGTAGCGAGGTAAAGAAATTGGGTGGCATCTTATCCACGGCAATTACAAATATAATGCAGTTTTGTGCAACTATTGTGCATCATAGTCTTATTTCAGGTTGTCTTGGTGGTCAGATTTTCTTGCTTTAAAGGACCTCTGCCTCTAAGTTAATCCAAATAGTAAACTGTGCAGCATTTGTCTATTCTTTTCATAGAAGCGGTTTCATTGCTTAGCTCAAAATTCAACTGAATTGGAATGAGAGAGTCAACTTTTTCGGCAGAGAATTATTTGTAATTGCACAGTCCTTCATATTTCTTAGGGAGAGGTGATCAAGTCATCTTTGGTCAAAGGCTATAAAAAATGAGCAATTCCTCTGGTTCCCTATTTTTCTCTGCTGAGGTGAACATGTGATTCTTCCATTCATGAAGCATTTGACATTTCATCTGATTTGGCAATCTTGTAACGGGATTTTTTCTGACCATTTCAGAAGTTTTTTTGATTTCTCGTTTCATTTGGGGATACATCCATTGATCATTGGGTCTGTGTTCTTAAAGCTTGTTCATTCATCTTCTCCATGTTTTTGGATATATTAGTAGATATTAAAAATTAGTTACCAATCTCAATGTGGAATGCTTTATTCCCGAACAGAATGAGATGAGAGATGCATATCCAGCTGATAAATGCAGTATCTAGTTTAGTCTGGGCTAATATACTATCACATACCCTGAGAAATAAATATACAACTTATGAGAAGGCACCCCACATTCTCAATTGATGAAAGTTGTTTGTCTTGGTATGTAGTTTCTAATTAACTTTTTCTGTTCTTTTGCAGACTGATACTAAGAAAATATCTGCAGTGTCCATATTTTTCGAGACAATGCCATATAGATTGAATGAGAGCACTGGCTACATTGATTACGACCAGGTAGGTCTTCTTGACACTCTCTAGGATTCTAGTCATGAGGATGAGAGATCTTAATCCGTCATGGAAAAATCATCGCTTTATGCAATAACACAGCAAAAACATCTGTAGTCTTCAGTGTAATATGAAAGGGAAGAATGTAGCTGGTTGTGTTTACAATGGATGTTTAAACTGTGATTCTTTTGGAACTAATTCTAGATGAAATTTCAATATTCTTACCTGTAGCCAGATTGTTACACGGGAATTACCAGAGTGGGTTAGAGTACGTTGTGGTATGAATTGTAAATGCTCTGTAATCTCTTGATGGTTTCACTTTGTTTCTCACTTCAACATTGCAGTTGGAAAAAAGTGCCACACTCTTCAGGCCAAAACTAATCGTGGCTGGTGCCAGTGCTTATGCACGTCTATATGATTATGCTCGTATTCGTAAGGTAAACTCAAAAGGCCTTTTCCTTTTAGCACTTAAGTACAGTTACTGTTCAAAGTTGGGAACGAACCTTGCCTTGTAATCTAGAAATCCGATGTATAATTCCTGATGTATGCAACAGGTATGTGACAAGCAAAAGGCTATCCTGTTAGCAGATATGGCACATATCAGTGGCTTAGTTGCTGCTGGTGTGGTTCCCTCACCCTTTGAATATGCTGATGTTGTTACGACCACGACTCACAAGTCACTTCGTGGTCCACGTGGAGCCATGATCTTCTTCAGGAAGGGCGTAAAAGAGATCAACAAGCAAGGGAAAGAGGTTAATAGACAATTCAGATTATTCGTTTTCCTCAGCCATTTTTTCATAGCTTTCAAACCCTACTTTTGTTCTCCCCTTTGCCACAAAGCTGAAGAAAGATGAGACTCTCTTCTCATGTGAAGCAGTGTACTAAATCTTGATTTATTATCAGGTTTTGTATGACTTTGAAGACAAAATCAATCAGGCCGTGTTTCCTGGTCTTCAAGGAGGACCACACAACCACACAATAGCTGGTTTGGCTGTTGCATTGAAGCAGGTGTGCTTTTTTGACCAGATCTCCGTTGTAAGGGGATTACATTGCATGAGTGCATCAATTGCAGTTTGTTTTCTGCAAAAGTGCAACTCATGTTGGTCTCAGTAGTCATTGAAGTGATTCCATCATAGCTAGAAAACTATGTCTCATCTTGGAATCCTTTCAGCTATGGGCAGGAATCCTTGCTTCTAGCTGACTTAATTGGATATTTCATTGGTCAGTGTCTAGGTCCTGTTTAGTTAATTAATGCTCTCCAGTCTAGGTCCTGCATTGCTATAGTACTGTTCATTTATTTTTCTTCCTCGTTGCAAAGTAGGTGGTTCTTGAGAAGCTCAAGTTTATCTTGTGATCTGCTTTGCCAGATAATTTAAGAGACATAATGTAATTTGACTCTTCTTGAAGTACATTTAATTCTTAAAATTCGGAGGCTAAGCAGTTAGAAGATCCAGTAAACTGTAGAACAGCTTCATCTATGGTGAACAATTTGCTAGATTTGTATATGCTATTTCAAACCTTTATTAATATTCTCCTCGAGATCTTAAACGTATACCCTTTGTAATTGTAGGCTACAACTCCAGAATACAGAGCCTATCAAGAGCAAGTTCTCAGTAACTGTGCAAAGTTTGCAGAGGTATCTCTCAATGACCTTTGACTAGATCAATGGCTTTGAACAAATGGTTGCTCTTGACCTTTTAGTGTTATTCAAGTATATTATCATTCAATCAAAGGAGATAGTTTCCTTCTGCATTTTTGCCACTTCTTTGTTATAATCTTCCACTAATTACATCATGTGCAGACTCTCACTGAGAAGGGCTATCAACTTGTTTCTGGGGGAACTGAAAATCATTTGGTTTTAGTGAACATGAAGAATAAGGTAATGCAGGAACTTCACATTCTCTCCTTTCTATGAAGGTGCTATCGATATGTCTTGAAGAACTTACATAAACATACTAGTCCATCTGTGAGGGGCACTTAACTTGTACTGCACTTTACCCATATAAAAGGAATCAATTTGTCCATCTTTTTTTTTTCTTATCTCCACAGGAAATTGATGGTTCCAGAGTTGAAAAGGTGATGGAATCTGTTCATATTGCTGCCAACAAAAACACTGTTCCAGGAGATGTATCTGCCATGGTTCCTGGTGGCATAAGAATGGGTAGAGGCTGCTTATGGACTACATTGTGCTTTCAGGTTCAGGGTCTTCATGTTGGTTATTTATGAACTCCAACTACCTCAGGTACCCCTGCTCTTACTTCGAGAGGATTTGTCGAAGAGGACTTTGTGAAAGTAGCTGAGTTCTTTGATGCTGCCGTCGGTTTGGCAGTGAAAATCAAGGTCGAAACCAAAGGTGACCGGTTCTACCAATTCATTCTTCTCTCTGCTGATTATACTTGGTTCAAACCACCTAATGCAATCGAGCATGCTTAATGCTTTTTCTCTACTGCTTCCTCTTTTTGGTTCTCACCTTCTTACTTTAACTTATTCTGTTGTCTATTCTCTGATGAATGCTGGAAAATTTTGTCTAACAGGAACAAAGTTGAAGGACTTCCTGGCCACAATGCAGTCTTCCCATCACCAATCGGAGATTGCTAAACTTCGCCATGGCGTCGAGGAGTATGCAAAGCAATTCCCTACAATTGGGTTCGAGAAAGCAACAATGAAGTACAAGAACTGAGGGAGAAATCACGTGTTGTAAGTATGGTACTAAATTGATTGTCAGGAAGGAGTGCTGCTGCTGATACAAATTTCGATGTTGAGAAAATCTGTACCTTGATCTCCCTATCTAAAACTAAAAAAGATACTGTAAAGATGGAAATTTGAAACTCTCTCTCCCTCTCTCATTGCATACGACGCATGCTATTTAATGCACTGCGAGAACATGTCAAATGAGAGACTCAAGTTATACACCAGCGTTGCCTCTGGCTTCAATAAACAGAGAAGTTTATTCTCTGTCATGATGATGAGTCAAGTGTAATCAGTTGATAAAGCATTAAAATAAAAGATTACCATAAACAGCTCAGTCTAGTGGCATAGTCTATCTACTGCAATTAAATGATTATGATGCAAGGGCAGTGGTTCATCTGTCGCAATTTCAGCTTTGATATCATACGTGATGTAACTCATCCCTCTTCAACTACGCAGCTGTTCAAGCATAGCATGTCTTGTCTTAATGGTCTTAGATGGTAATAAGCGTTTATGAAGCGTGTGAAGCACTCTGGTTTTGCGATTCAGAACAGATGTTCCTCTTCATATCTTGATCGACAATTGATTTGGAAACTTTTAGCCAAGTTGCATATCGATAACGGTGGACAAATTGGCTCCATTTGACACAATAAGCACATTCTATGAATGCGAACTTCGAATTCTAATGTACCCAGCACGTTACATTGCATACATTATCAGCAGTGAAAACAGCTGACTGATATACTTACCTTAAAATCAGAGCTAGACCTTTTTTTCTGGCCAAACATAAGTAGACTCTCGATATGGGTAAGTGAGCAATCCACTGATCTATTCAGAAAAGGAGCCAAGAAGCTCAGTTCTAGCTAGAAATACATCGTAGAACAGTGCAGTTAGAATGAACAGCAGAGGACTTCTAGCGACAGATTTGTTTGATCACAGTTGCAAAATTAAAACATGATCTCCTTTTGGTTTTTATTTTGTTCCATCCCCATTCTGCAAGTAGCATGGCATGTCATGGACAAGCAATGAGATTGTAAGTAGAGTCTCAGAGCTGATGATCAGAAAGTGAACTAGCTGATTTTTGTAAGTGAACCAGTTAACATGCACTAGGGTTTCCATGCTAATGCAGCACCAACATCCATCATTACCTTCCGTAACCTTTTAAAATATTGGCAGAGTAATCAATTTTTGCCGTCCGACCTTTTGTCACTGAGACCTTTTCCTTTTTTGCTAATTTTCTTTCTTTTCCTCAGAATTTATTTTACTCTAAACTGGCTAATTTATCACATTTTTTATTCTCTCATTACTGATATTTGCCTTTTGTATTAGGGTTAATATTACAAACAATCCAAACTGATACACCTGTGACAAATTTATCCCCAACTAATTTTTTGACCACAAAAAACCCCAAATTGATATACCAATACCAAATTTATCCCTCATTAGTTTCCATTAAATTTATTGTCAAATTGCTGAGCTAGATAACACGTGGCGAGTGTACCAATTTAGGGTTTTACCCCTCTGTTTATCACAAATTTACCAGTTTGTAGTTTTTTGTGATATTAATCTAATTTAACTGGAGTAAAATTATCACAAGTGTACCAGTTTGGAGTTTTTTGTGATAAAAAAATTAGTTTGAGGTAAATTTGTCATAGGTGTACTAGTTTGGGGTTTTTTGTGGTAAAAAAAATTAATTTTGGATAAATTTGTTACAAACCTACCAGTTTGGAGTTTTTCTTTGTATTAACCCTTTCTATTATCCATATTTTAGTTGATTTAGTTTTCTCCCTTTTCTTTATTGTTCTGTTCGCTTTCCATATTTTGAGGGTTTATACCATGAAAATCCCAAAACTGGTACACCCGCGACAAATTTATCCAAAACTAATTTTTTTACAACAAAAAACCCCAAATTGGTACACATGTGACAAATTTACAGCAAACAATTTTTTTGACTACAAAAAACCTCAAACTTATACATTTATGACAAATTTACTCTCTATTAGTTTCCATTAAATTGAAATACACGAAAAATCATAAACTGGTACACCTGTGATAAATGAAGGGTATTAGTATACCTGTCAACTGTCACGTATCATCCAACACAATAATTTGATGGTAAAATTTAACGGAAACTAACGAAGGATAAATTTGTCACTGGTGTACCAGTTTGGAGTTTTTGGTGGGGATAATGACACAAATAGTCCATAAACTTTGACCCAATGTATAATTTGGTCTCTGAACTTTTAATTTGTTCAATGTAGTCCCTGAACTTTAACTTAATGTTCAATGTAGTCCCTCAACTTTTAATTTATTCAATGTGATCCATGAACTTTTGGTACATGGTACATGTTTAATGTTATCCCTGATCTATATGAAAATATTCAATGTAGTCCATCCATTAATTCAAGTTCAGGGATTACATTGAACATTTTCATATAATTCAGAGACTAAATTCAACATGTACCAAAAGTTCATAGACCACATTGCACATTAAATTAAAGTTCAGGGACTACATTGAACAAATTAAAATTTTAAGGACCACATTGCACATTGGGCCAAAGTTCAGGAACTGTTTGTGTCATTTTCCCTTTTTGGTGGTCAAAAAATTAGTTTGGAGTAAATTTGTTATAGGTGTACCAGTTTAATTACAGTTAGGATGAAAAAAATTCAAAAAGTGAAATGAAAATACACTTTTACCTTTTAAAAATCATATGCATTATACATACTAATCGAAAAGTAAAGGGACAGGTGGTTTTGAGGTCATTTTGCGTAGCAATTGAAAGTTCAAGGCTAAATGCATACTACCCAAAATTTAGGAAATCTTTTTATCTAAAATTTTCACGTAAAATTAATTAGGCCCGGATGGATCGAGGTGTGTGGGCACGACCTAAAACAAAGAAATTACTTATTCAAGTCCGCTTATTTTGCTTTTCGAGTGATTGGGCCTAGATGGCCCAATGAGTATTCCGCCAAGCCTATGAAAAGAGCACAAAAATCTAGCTTGAGGGGAATAATTAAAAATATTCGTGATACCTTATCTAAGGAGGTCGATGTATAGAAATTTTACATGAAATTTCGTAATGTCTAAAATATATTTGATAAAAATTACGCTAAGCAAGTGTTATGCGACCAAAGATTAGGATGCAAGTACCTCAGCTTTCATTCACGGACTATAGACTAGGATCGGTGCCGTACATCAATGATCAATGAAAAGGTAAGTTCCATAAAATTTCTTTATTAATTGATTGATTGAATTTTTATTTTATTTTAGTTATCTTTCTATTTATATATTTTGCTTTTTTTTTTTTCAAACGAAGAGAGGGGAAGGAAGTGGACAATTTTCCAGTTTTTTTTTTTGGGGTCAAGGACAATTGTCGAGTAAAACCCACTAGCATTTTGGTGGGTATGGCCAGTCCACATGTGGTTGTACCAAATTCACATGCGAGTCTGCAAATATTCCCTCTTCACTGCCGTATTGTCTCCTCTGAATAAAGTTTCTTTTTCTCAAGATTTATGTCATTAACAATTTTAAACTGATACCTTGTGACATTCACAAAAAATCTCCATCTCGCATTCCATGACATATTTATCTCAAAACTACCCCTTAATTAGCAATTTGACATCTAATGTAAATGGTAGATTTGGGTCAGGGATACCATTTTCAGATTTTTCGTTAAACGAATATTTGTATAGGGAAAATGTGTGATGAGGTACCAATTTAGAATTTTAATGGTATTAAGTTATCTTCATTTTCAATCCATCCCATTTCGCTTGGTTTACCTTCCAATGTGTATATCTTTTCCCATTCTATCTTATCCTCCAATACTTTCTTTCAAAGCTTTCTATATTTTATTTTGTTGTTGAGATTAGGTGATCTATGCAAGAAGCTCCACCAAATTGCTCCCAACGGTTCAGTCCATGTTCAATGTTTAATCACTAGATCATCTGCGTGACCAACCAAGTAAGATGAGATTGTGCAATTGCTTGTAGCAACATTCTTATTAGTATCAACAACTTCATCAATTTTAAGGTAAATTGCGTTGCATATAAATTTTTGGGGGAATACCATTCAAAATCCCAAATTAGTACTCCAGGACATATATGTCCAAACTAATTTTCATCTCATAAAAAAAATGTCAAACTGACATACCATGAGACATCTACTCATTGCGAAAAATTTCAAAGTAGTACCCTTGACACAAATCTACCCTCCATGTCAGATCTTAAGCTATTAACGGAAGGTAAATTTGGGTTAGGGGGTACCGGCTTGAGATTTTTCTTCAAGCGAAAATTTGTTCGAGGTAAACGTGTTACAGGGTACAAGTTTGAAAGTTTTCATAAGGTGAAAATTAGCTGAGAGTAATTATGTCAAGGAATGCTATTTTGAGATTTTTAATGGTATTAACCCTAAAATTTTGCTTACTTTAGAGAAATTGTGTAGAGGCATTTCCTACTTTTTTGAAATGTTCAAGAGTTTCTAATCGCTTTGAATTTGATATATCTTTATTTGCAGTTTACATCCTGATTCAAAAGCTTATGTTTTAGCCCAAAGACTCACACTTTCGAGCGGTTTCTGTCCTTTTGCATAAAATCTTCACCATGATTTTTTGTATTGCATGTGATTGAGTGAGCCGTATAACAATATAAATTCGTATCTAACATGGGAAGTCCATATTGACAGTTGTCGTCAAGAGAAAGAATCTCGTCATCCAGTTAGATGGGAATAAAAGTTTAATGACTATAATATGAAATTTGAGTATTAAAGGCCCAATTATAAAAAAAGTTCATATTTGAGGGACGGCATCGGTGCAATCGACATCTTATTTCAAAGGGACTTTTATATACTTTCGGAACAAGACATCTTCATCTATCCAAATTAATCATCACTAGGGAATGTGCATTAAGCTGGGTAGCTATGAATAAAAGGAAAATGAGTGATTATATAAGGAGATGGCTGAAAATGGGAAGTTATCTGAAATATAAGGCTCTGTTTATTTTGAGAAAAATGAATGATTTGAAAAATATTTTCCTAAAAATGATAACTTGTATAGTTTGAAATAATCAGTCAATTGATGTGTTTTCATTATCGATAATAATTTATGTCTAAATATTTTCGTGAATGATGAAAATATATTTCGTTAGTTCATTTATAAAAAACGAAACAATTGATATTTTTTGGAAAATATTTTACAAAAATTTTATTTTGCGCGAAACAAATAGAGTCTTAATTATATCTTTTCTATCATTTTGTTGTTTAGTGTGTTGGCAATTTGGGAAAATCACTAAAAAGTGAGACAAAACTAATTTTTGGTTTGATCATATAAAGGATCGGGGGAAGCTCCCTCTGAGCCTAGGTTGAAGATCAGCCCAGGGTTCATTGCCACTAGGGGCCTTGGCGGCCTGTCTAGTAACCAAGTGAGCTCCACTAATACATTTATTATTTTAACATACCGGTATTCGCACTCTCCAATTCCTCTTGCTGCCCCTACCCCGGCAATACCTAACTTCATTTTAACACCTTGTGATTGAGGTATAGCCTTTTAGGGACATGTTAAGGTCCGATATTGGCAATTTGGGAAAATCACAAAATAGTGAGACAAAACTAATTTCTGGCTTGATTATATAAAGGTGTCCTTAATGGATTGAACTTAATTTTTGTGAAGAATTATTTTATCCCGGCCTATGTTAGGGCCCACTAAACCAAAAAGCAGAGAAATTGGAGAGAGCGAGGAGTTCCCCCCATGATTGATGTCATGCAATTATTTACAATGAGAGCTCGTACCAATATCATCTGATACTTCTCATTACTCATCATCTTGTCCTCCACACCAAGAGAGAGAAAAACCGAAACCCCAAGAATTCCGAGCCCGTGTTTCGAATGGAGAGAGATTCGTCATCGCCGTCGCGCTTTGCTCGGTGCTTGTCACCGTCTTGCTTTCCTCTTGGAGACGAAACGGAGTACCATCGCCTGCGAAGCCGTGACAACAGAGGCCGGAGATCGATCTGGAAATGGAGGGATCTTCTCAAGAGGATTGTCGCTGACGGAAAATGCATCTACAGGCCGAAACCGGTGTCGTTCCACTACGACGCCGTTAGCTACTCCCAGAATTTTGACGAAGGCCGGTGGAGATGCGAGTATGGATCTGATAGCAGGTTTGTACAAGTCAGCTAGTGTGGTTAATAATGAGTAGTACTGTACTTGTAGAGTGAAGCGAATGCTTCATGTTTCGAAACTCAATGGATAAAAAGATCTGATCTTGGCACTTCTTGCTTTTGTGCAGTTTCAATAAACCTTTTTGATCCTGTCTATTTGTGGCATCAGATCAATCCATGTATATATAAGTGAGTATTGAACATCAACTCTGCTTATAGTTCTGTTGCTCCAATAATCTTGATAATATGGTCGAAGTGACCTTTATGGATAATGCGGTTTTTAGAACAGTAATATGAGTGATATTAGGTAACTAATTTCGATTAAATCGGCTGAAGAAGATGAAGTTGTCTGCAATCTGAAGGAAATTGATAGGAGGGAATAAAGTAGGATTTATAATCTCAATGAGAAGATGGATAACGCAGATGCGGTGGGTGTAGTAGAAAGCTATCTGATGAACGAAAGGAACAAGAGAATACTATTGTGCGGCGTAGTGTTCAAGCCTTGCTTTCTGGGTGTCCTTCCCTTGGAAGCTTTCACCTTGTCCTGGCGTGTTTCTGGCCTGTCTCCAGCCTGAAAAGAAAGGAAGGCGAGGAGATGTCCGGAAAGAGGCCCCGGCTTGACTCTCTGACGCCCAAGTCAGATGGACAATAGAGGAAATGAGAGGAAGATCATGAGCGTGTGTGAGAACCAGATCTGTAATGAAGGATCGTGTTCGAGATTCACATTCGTGCCGAACTTGAGAACAACCATCTGGTTTTGAGGGGAAAGATCATTGTTGTTGTTACTTGCGTTGATACATCTGTAGTATGTATCGTTCTCAATCGGCTGCTTCCAGAGTTTGGATGCCTGAGAGGCAAGAAACTTGGGTTCAGTTGGCAATCACTAAAGTAATTGAATCTCCAGCAAAACTAGTTTAGATTTCAAATTCTAAAATTGGCCCCCCAAAAAAACTTAAGGTTCCAATGTTAAAGGTAATGTGAAGTATTTTTGAATGCTACTTCTCTACGTTGTTATGATATCTTGATCCCGATCAAATTTAAAAAAGTTCACGATTATATTCGCGGGGATTTTAAAAGAAAACTAAAGGCAAACGTGCATGAAAAGTTTATATGACGCTTTATGTCATTTTACACGTACTAACATGACGAATCTATATTCTTCTTTTGTCAATCGTGATTTGAAAAACCTATTGTGCCTATACCATTTCATGTCTGACTTTGTATATTTTCTCGTTGAAGCCGCCACTAGTGGCCGGACAATCCTGCCATGTTGGTGATGCTAGGCCTCTTTGACCTTTTGTGTTGGGCCTGATAGCCTTTGGTTTTGTTGATCTTGTGCTGGCCATTTGGAGCATTATGTTCATATTTTTATTGGTCTTGTATTGGGCCTCTATGTTTTCTGAGCCTTGTAGTTTTAGTAGCTGTGTTCTATTTGTTGTACTTGTTTCGAATACAAATATAATTATAATTTGCCAAGCGAAAAGGTACACACGTTTTGCTAATGATTAGTTGGAATAATTCTCAAGCCTTCCATGGTAATTATGGTTTATGTAATCTATTTCATCAAGTGAGAACATAATAAAACGATTTCAAATGCTAGTCTCTCTTTCTTTAATGTTTCTTGTTACAATTGACATTGCCAAACTCATCGCTAAGAGTAGGAATCCTCTTCCTGCGAATATAACAAGTATGGGTGAAATAGTTTTCATTACATACGGATACTGAAAAATCAAGTTATGAGATGGAAGATTTTGAGTTTTTCTTTGTTGATAAATTGAAAATGTGAATCGACAAACATTCCATATAATATTGAGCAAAACTTTATAAACGGGGTTCTCTTGTGGTAGCCCACGAGATTTTACTAGAGAGTTATAATAATGGTTATTAAGTAAATGCAAATGAGCTTATCTTTTGTAATAAACAAACACAAAATTACAATCCGACATCTACAATGGTTGTATGGCCATCCACAGAGAAAATGCTATCTTGAGTCCTTAGTAAATAAAATTTCGCCGGATTCACCAATGATGATGCCTATACCGGTATGCAACCAATAGAAATCCAGCAAAATCACAACCAGGCTTCCTCCTCATACCAAATCCCCAAATCCCTATGGCAAAAAATCTGGAACCTCAACACTATGCCAAAAATCAAGTTTTTCATTTGGAGTGTGTGTCAGAATAGCTTACCAACTCGAGAGAACCTGTGTAAGAGAACGATAACGCCTGATCCTCTTTGCCCAGTCTGTCAGCAAGCCCCCGAGTCTGTGGAACACCTTTTCTTGCTTTGTGATTGGACAAAAACAATATGGTCAGACTACCGACTCAACATTCATATATCTAGCTACGAAATTACTAGAATTGACAAGTGGATGTTGGAGATCTTCACACAGAACACTAACTTGCCTTCATCGGAGCTGGTCACTGGGGTATTGTGGAAAATTTGGCTGGCCCGAAACAGAGCCGTCTTTCAAAATCGCCATCCAGACCCGAGCTCAATAGTAGACGAAGCATGCACCATAGACAAAAACTTTAAGCGTTGGAGCCCTCTAGTGAACAACCGAGAAACGCGACAGGGGAACTCACCGATCTCGTGGATCCCTCCAGAGAGAGGCAGCGTAAAACTGAATATTGATGGGTCGATCGTCGAAGGAGCTAAGTCTCACCGCGAAAAGTCCTACCGCATGACCGGCTTGTAGAACCACATTTACCTTTATGGGATCTTTTATGTTCAGAAATCCATAACTTATGTTATCCTTTTTCGGTTAATGAACGAAACATTTCGCTTTCCACCAAAAAAAAAAAATGAGGCACAAAACATAACATCATAAATGGATTTTTCTAGTCAAATTTTTTCCTTTAAGAGCCATATTTGTTGACCCTGAAGTTTGACGGTCAATTTTTGTCGATCGGGAGCCCACTTTTGAATTTATTGGGAAGTTTCTCAATTCTGAATTTCAAAATTGCATCATGAAATATTAGTAACGTGCTCTTTAATAGAAAGAGAATTGAGTTGATTGAACATTGAAGGAGTGAGAAATTGCTGGTCGAAGTTTGGTCGAAGTTTTCTAAGACTTGGAGAAACCCCCAGTGACCAACGCATATGAAATTTCCATACCTCCTAGTTATGGTGAACATAATTTTTTTTATGGTTGATCGTACAAAAACTGATGTAAGGCTCTCGAATCCGTAAATCATCTCGGTTTAGTCCAAAATCTCTAAGATATGATTTTTCTTTTGGGAATTATCCCTTCAGTGTATGGCCCATTTGGAAGCCCTTGTCACAAGTTTTCCAATTGTGTAAGAATTGTGCGAATCCGACTAAGCCCTTTTAAGTATTTTAACTCCTAGAGTGCACAAACGTGTGTGTCATGGACTGAAGGCTCCGAAGGCACACTTTACCATATAGGTGGTAGAGATGACGCAAGAGCGTCCCGATTCAAATCCAAGTAAAACGCAATTTTTCCAAAATGAACTTAATTCTCATATGGCAACAACATTAGAGGCAATTCACCGCAAAAAAACAAGGAAAAAAAAAAGAAAACATAAAGATGCGGTTATCCCATGATGCAGAGCATGATTTTTGAAAAACTTGGTATGCGAAATAGTAGAATAGATCTGAACTGATGGATGCAGAGAATAGGTGCAACGATTCGCACTGGCAATCTTTGGTTTATGAGACCGACATTTCGTTCCAAGGTTTGAAGATACATAGTGCATCAAGCTGTTTGCAAGGAAGGATTGCACCACGGAAGAGGCAGCCTATCACAAATTTGTTACCCAATTAGTTGCCGAATGGTGTGTTAACATCATTGGTCTATAGACACAGTTTGACTGTGGGGTGTTTGTTTCAATAAAAGAGCTTTCCATGAGTTAGTTTTCGAGACATTCATGTGTTTGGTTCGTTGAAAAATATTTAGTTTTTGAGACTTTCATGTGTGTTAACATCGTTGCTTTCGTTTTCTTCTCTTAATTTTTATTTGCTTGAAACCTTCACCAATTCAAGGATGATGAAGTCAAATACTGGATTAGAATCAAGAGCATTAAATAAGAAAAGTAAAGAGAAACAAAATAAAATGAAAAATTTAGTTCTTTTCAATTTCAAACCGAACTTTATTAAAAAATTCAGTTCGATTCCAAACCCTTATTTAGTTCAACTCGGTTTCTTAATTTTTCAAACCGTAGCAGTTCACTCTGGTTTGGTTTTCCATCAAAACTTGAACGAACTGAACCATGCTTAGCCTTACTCATCGATAGATTACACTACATCGCCATATGAGAGTTGAATCTAACGCATAACACATGTCAACAATCTGATGGCACAACAAACTATCCGCCCACGATTAATCCACCATCTTTGGCACATCCCATTAACAACGTTTCGCTAATAATTTGTGAAAAAGAATAAATTTCTCAAGCTGCCAAGGCAATGATTTTTGTTTATTACACTTAACCAAATGAGAACAGAACAAAACTGTAGCAAATTCCAATGTTTCCTTCCTTGATGTTCCTCACGATGATACTCATCGCCAACGACAAAATTGAATAATAGGAGACGGCAAATTAAGCCACATTTTGTGTTACAGTTCTTGGCGGACCAGGCAATATCAATGAGCATGTTTGTCTCGATGAGGGGAATATAATAGAAGTCCTCCCGCGCCTGCATGAAGAGAATGGGACATGAGCTGTGGCCATTTAGACAATGTCCTGGAATTTTCATCACTAAAAATTGTCTCCATGTCACAATTCTTCATTATTCGACTATGTCTAAGGTAATTAATTGTTGGCCATCTAGAAAAATGGACAAAACACTTGTTCTCGTCCCGCCTAACACCTTGATTTGCTCTGCCTATGTTCAATCTGACCAATCAGCAAACATTACGACAACTATATAGCTCAGCCGCTCCTAATAGCTAATATACCCAATCCTCACTTCTTCATTCAATCCATCTCTCTATCCCTAATGGCCAATCGCTCATGCCTTGTGATCCAGTTCCTAGTGTTCTTTCTCTTCCTCATCGGCCATGCCCATTCAGTCTCCTTCAACTTCTCCGGGTTCGAGCCCAACACCGGCAACTTGACGTATGAGGGCGACGCGTTCACGTCGGACGGCGTGATCCAGCTGACGAGGAACCAGCAGGAACGCACCCTCGGGAGCAGTGTCGGGCGGGCCTCCTACGACAAGCCTGTCCGCCTGTGGGACTCGAAGACCGGGAGGCTGACCGACTTCATGGCCCACTTCACCTTTGTGATGAAGGCCCTGAACGACACTTACAGCGCGGACGGCATTACCTTCTACATTGCACCGTTCGATTCCGTTATCCCGCCCAACTCGAGTGGCGGCTACCTTGCCCTGTTCAACCCGAGCACGGCCTTCAACACATCTGCAAACTGCATGGTCGCCATCGAGTTCGACAGCTTCCAGAACCAATGGGACCCGAGCCCCGACCATGTGGGCATTGACGTCAACTCCATCGTCTCGGTCGCGACTGTGACCTCGAGTGCCAGCATCAATAATGGTTCCGTAGCCAATGCTTGGGTCAGCTACAACTCCACAACCTTTAACTTGAGCGTCTTCCTTACTTATGCCGATGATCCCGTGTTTGACGGCAATTCGAGCCTCTCGTACATCGTCGATCTGAGGACAATTCTTCCAGAGCAGGTCAGAGTTGGCTTCTCTGCCGCGACGGGTCTGTTCGTCGAGATTCATAACATCCTTTCCTGGTCATTTAGTTCAACCTTGGAGGATGCCAATTAAGCATTACAGAATATACTTCACGTGGGCATCAGAGGTAAGGTTCAGGAGCTTGATTCATTTGAATACTAATCAAACAAATTACCAACATATAAGAAAATTGGTTTAGAATCTTTGTTCCACATTGAGCTCTCTCTCTCTCTCTCTCTCTCTCTCTCTCTCTCTCTCTCTCATGGCGTCAAGGAAGGAATCATGATTCCTTTTACAGCTACGTGACTTCACTCTTGTTGTTCCCATTTGCTTTCCTCATCCTGCCAGTCACTCTCTCTGAGTTCGACGTATCTCACTTTGATCCTTTCATCAAAGACATCAAATATGCGGGCAGTGCGGCGCCGGCCCTCGCGTCCATTCAACCAACGAGCCTAGCTCGTTGTCACATTGGTCGTGCCACGTGCGCTGAACATTTCCAATTCGGAAAACTATCCAAAAAAGTCATAAACCTATTGTAACGATGGCCAATTTAGTCCTAAACTTCTCAATTTGGCCAATTCAATCCTAAATCTTTTGATGATTTTTCAATGTACTTCATTCGGCTAATTTTGGTTGGAAATTACTGACGTGGCGGTCCAGTCAATGCCAACCATCCTAAAAGAGCTTTCCATGAATTAGTTTTCGGGACTTTCATGTGTTTGATATGCTGAAAAATGATTTTACGGAAAATCATTTAGAGTCAAAGAAAACACCCCCATAAAAAACTAGGGAAAGGAATTCCCGTTTCTGAATAGAGGAAATCAGTTTTCCAAACGTAACAAGTCTCTTGCCAAGAACGCTCAGTCACTTCTTCAAGGTTCGCTCTTCTTCACGGACGCTCAACATCTTCACCAAAGGATTAGCTATTCTTCACCCATGCTCAATAGCTTTGTTCAAAGTTCTCTCTCCTCACCGATTTGAAAATAATCTCTGAAAATTCAATCAATCCTTTACATCGTGAATGCGTTGTTGATGTGATTAGGTTATTCAATCATCTTCTGTGCTATAATCGTTTGATTCTAGTTTCCTTTGTCTTCTCCAAGCCAAATTTGAAAATCAGTTTCAGATTTCCCCAGATCCTAGAGACTTGATTTGTCAAGGTCAATTAGAGATTATAGGCTACGACAAGAGGTTTGTATGTGCTTGTGTAAGATTTAATAAGAGTAGGATCATAGATTATGCATTTCATTTTTTTGTTCACCTAGGAGGTTTGCAATATCATTATGTACGTGATTGATTCCCTTAACTATGTGATTCATATTGTTAAAGAGGGAAGCATGAAAGATATTTGTTAAAATGTCAAGAACAAAGAACGAAAGATGTTTGCTAAAATCTCAAAGTTAGGCTGTACTTGTCTTACTACAATTTTGTATGACATTTTTTATATTTCATTTGAATTCTTGCTATTGGGTTTTGACAGGAAATATTTATTTTGAGTGACTCTGAGATTAAGAAATGAAAATTCTAATTTATTTGCTTGTAGATGGAAAACAGTGATGTCCATGGAGCAATAAAGGGTGAAGCTACATCAATAATGGCAGTTGGTATGTTAGTGATGAAGGATGAATATCTCCGAAGTCACATGCCTAGAGTGCCTCGGGTGGAAAAAAAGATTTTGGGAGGAAGTTATCCATGAATCACATTTTTTGTTATACTAATTGTTTCAATGAAATACATATGAGACCAGAAGTTTTCTTTGAGTTGTGTGCAATTCTTATGTCAAATAATTTGTTATATCAAATGTAGACTAGTCAATCAAAGAGGAAGTAATAGTCTCTCACCATATTTTGGGGCATAATGTGAGGTTCACAGTGAGAGGGCCAAGGTTCAATAGGTCAATTGAGGCCATTGATTTAACACTTTAGAACTGTTTTACTAGCAACTATAAACTAATGTAAGTATATTATAAGATCACTGGATGGCACTACACCCAAGATAATATCCAAGAATAAAAGATTTTATCCGTACTTTGAAGTACGCAACATAAAAAAGGTTACATACTTCATATTGAAAATCTAATCTTACATTTACTTACTTACAATAAGTACATTAGGATTGCACTGGATCTCTTGATGGGACTTATATCCATGCATCGGTTCCCCCTAAAATTCAAGGAAAATTTTGTGGTTGAAAGAAAAAACAGGGCAAAATATTATTACAGCTATTATTTTTAATTTGGAATTCATTTATGTGTTGTCTTATGTGAAAAACCTTTTAAAATCATAAAGAAAAAAAAAACCATGTTGTTGTATTAGTAATCTCTTCATTATTTGTATCAATATCAATTTTCAGAGTTACAAGTTTTAGGGTTACAATTACAAAAGATATTGCTTCAATATATTGCAGGAGTTTAGGGCATACACGTTGTAGCAAAAATTATATGTATGCCATTAACAACAGTACTACAGTACTTTCTTCTCTGCTTTAACATGAAATTTACATGTTTGTCATTAGCAATAGAAAGCCAATATGCTTTAATATTACTTTCCTATATCAAACTCCACAACTCTATGAATCTTTCACTTGAAGGCTAATCTTCAAAACAACAATAGTTTTTTATAGTCTAAACTTGTCTTTTAACCCAAATTATTCTAGTATAGCAGCCTACTCATCAATAAGCATGGATGCCAACTAAGGCAATATACAATCTCAATTTCTCAGTGGTAACAACATTGATTAACATATCTACTGGATTTTCTGCACTAAGAACCTTCATTACTGACAATGTCCCATCATATATCAGCTGACGAATATGATAATACTTCAACTCAATGTGTTTTGCCCTTGAATAAAATGCTGGATTCTTTACAAAACAAATAGCACTCCAACTGTCACTGAAAAGAACACTGTTATGTTACTTCTTGCCTATCTCATTCAAAAAATTCTTCAACCAAATCATTTCATTGCCAGCATCAAATATAGCAACATACTTTGCTTTAGTGGTTGAGAGGAATACACTTTTATGAAGTTTAGATATCCAATTGTTTACAGTGCCACCTATGGCAAAAACATAACCCGAGGTGCTATTTCTATTGTCAAGTTGCCACAAAAATCTACATCCACAAAGTCTTGTAAAGTTTCATTGTTTTACATTTTACATAGTGACATATCTGAAGTGTCTCTTAGGTACTTTTAGCCACTTTACAGCTTCCCAATGTTTTATTCCTGGATTAGCCATGTATCTGCTTACAACTCTCACTGTGTGAGCAATATTTGGTTTGATATACATCATATCATACATCAAACTACCAACAACTAACGCGTAAGGCACCTTAGCCTTGTACTTCCGTTCTTCATCTGTCTTTGGCAATTGTTTCTTCGAGAGCTTGAAGTGACTTCCTAAAGGAGTCTTCTTGGGCTTTGCATTCTAAACTTCGAATTTGTCCAGCACCTTCTCAATACACTTTTCTTGAGATAAGTTTAGAACTTTTACGGATCTATCTTGTGTGATTTTCATTCCAAGAATTGATTTGCTGCTCCTAAGTCCTTCATTTCAATTTCTTTTGATAATTGCTACTTTAGTATATTGATCTTTTCCATGCTAGATCCTTCAATGAGCATATCATCTACATACAACAAAAAAATAATATAAGAGTCATTAAATTTCTTGAAGTAACAGCAGTGATCTATCTCACTTTAAGTGAACCTGTTACTGCACATAAAGGTGTCAAATTTCTTGTACCACTATCTAGGAGCCTATTTGAAACCATACATACTTATCTTTAGCTTGCACACATAATTTTCTTTATGAGGAATTTGAAATTTTTTTGGTTGTACCATTTATATATCGTCCTCCAAATCATCATAGAGGAATGCGGTCTTCACATTTAACTACTCTAGATGTAAATTCTCAACAGCAACAATAGTTAAAATTAGCTTGATTTTGCTGAAAACCTTTTACTACTAACCATGCTTTGTACCTCTTGTTGATATCACGTTCTTTTTTGACCTGGTACATCCACTTGTTCTGCAATGCCTTCTTCCTATTTGGTAACTGAGTTAACTCCCAAGTTTTATTTTTTTCGAGTAAATCCAACTCATTCCGATTGCTAACTTCCACTTGATAGAGTCTTTAACTTGCACCATTTTCGAATATTTTCTGGTTCGCTTGCGTTAGTAAAAAAAAATGTAATTCTTGAGAATACCTGTAACGCCCCCACCTTACCTCGGGGTTATTAGTGTGATGTCCCCGTTCGTTATTATCTTTGACTAATCACAAGAGGAAGTAATTAATTCGGGACAATCACAATCAGAACAAACAACGGGGTTATGACAAGCATCATGAGCAAACCTTGTATTAATATGTAACATCCTTGTCTTGCTAGGAAAGTCTAACAGGCAAAACACATTATTGCTATTTTACTGAAACATATTTTACAAGCCCTTTTCTACGGGCCGTTCCACGTACAAATCGTATCACAAGCGAAGGCCGAGGTTAATCCTAGCTCCTCTAAGAATCCTCCATCTTACGGTCCTGAAAAGGAAAAAAAAACAACGCGGGATGAGTTGGGGAGACTCAATGAGTAAATTCACTAATACTCGTGCAGGATGATGCCTCACCATTGTATTAACGCATACAAATATTTTCCCCACCTTGTGTCGATGGCAGATCAATAGCAAAGGCTTTGTCCTTGCCCTTGCTATGTTTACATGGAAGCTCACCTTTATCCGGCCACATAAATTCGGCTTGTCAATAAGCACACATACTAGCACATATAGAGACTTCATTTATCACATACCGGCACACATATAAGATTTATGTATCGTCATTCTGGCTCAACCGAAGCATCCAGCTTTATGCTAGGCATCTCGGCTCAACCGAGGCATCCCGGGGCTAGCTCACCCGAGGCATCCGGGCTCAACCTAAGCATCCTAGCTCAACTAGGGCATCTCGGCGCTAGTTTACCGAGACATTGCCGCCAACGCTATGTAATGACGGTCTTCTTCTTTCGTTTAGTGATCACACATCACGGGTCACACAAGCCGGTTTATTATCTTGATTTCATTAGTCCATGCAATCAAGCCCAAAGGCG